GGGCGACGAGGCGCGCCTTGTACTTGACAATGGCGCCGAGCTCGTCCCTTTTGACTTTGTATACCCACTTCAGGCTGATCGGACGGCATCCTGGGGGTGGATCGACGAGCTACCAAGTCTTGTTTTCCTCGATCGCCTTCATCTCCTCAAAGCATTGCCCGTCGCTTGATTTCCATCGCGCTCGGCTAGCGCGCGAACGTGGGTGGTTCCTCCAAGCAGCGGCGAGTAGCAGCTCTGCGTCATTGAGCGACCTACCCGCTAGACACGAGGGGACTGTCGCCGACGATGTCGCCCGGATCATGGAACCTCAACTCCTCACCTTCGTGGTAGGCGTCCACGAACTCAGTGATGTCACTTGGAGGTGAGGTGAACTTGATCGGGGTGATGGAGTTCCTTCTTCCGCCGGAGTGCCCTGCATAGCACCTGAAGTGCTCGGCACTGCTTCTGGACTGCTCGTCATAACTCCTACAGTGTTCGGCCACACTATAGGAGTGCCCAGCCTTAGTCTTGGAGTGGTCGGAACCATAATAAGATGTCTTGGCTCTGCCACAGGAGTGCTCGGCACCCGTCCTGAAGTGGTCGCCACCACTGCAGAACCTCTTGGCTCCACTCCTGGCGTGCTCGGCATTCCTCCAGATGTGCTCGACACTCCTCCCGGAGTGCTAGGCATCCCTCCTGAAGTGCTCGGCACTGCCCCAGAAGTGCTTGACTCTACCGCCGGAGTGCTCGGTGCTCCTCCCGGAGTGCGTGGCACCTGTTCTGCAGCGTCTCCACCGCCGTGGATGACCAAGTGCTCGACGACGAAGGTGTTGGTGAAGCCTCCCGCTTCCCCCGTGCTCGGACTATGCCAGTCCCAAGCTGCCTCCTCGTGGAACACAACGTCGCGCGAGACAGTCACCTTGTCTCCGCGTGGGTCATTGAGCTGGTACGCCTTGGTACCCTCCGCGTAGCCCAGGAACACCATGGGTGTGCTCCTGTCCTCCATCTTGGTGAGGTTTGGCTTTGTCTTCCTGACGTGGCCAATGCAACCGAATGTCCGGAGGAATGACACGTTCGGCTTGCTCCCGTACCAAGCTTCGAACGGTGTCTTACCCGTTAGGGCTTTGGTTGGAGCGCGGTTGAGGATGAACACCGCTGTGGTCACCGCCTCTCCCCAGAACTTTGTCGGCATCCCTTTGGCCTTCATCATGGATCGGGCCATGCCGACCACTGTCTGGTTCCGTCGCTCCACCACACCATTCTGTTGTGGCGAGTACGACGCGGTGTGATGTTGCCCCACACCTTGATCCACGCAGTACGTAGCAAACTCCATCGAAGTGAATTCGCCACCCCAATCAGTCCTCAGTACACGGAGCTTCTTGCCGCTTTCGGCCTCCGCGCGCGTCTTGAACTTCTTGATCGTCTCTGCCGCTTCGTCCTTGCTCGTCAGGAGTTGCAGCCACATGTAGCGACTACAATCGTCTACGAGCAGGAGGAAGTACCACTGACCACCACATGTAGCAGGTGTGATCGGCTCGCAGAGGTCGCCGTGAACTAGCTCGAGAGCTTCCTTCGTGCGATACTTAGACGCCTTTGGGAAAGGTAGCCTTCTCTGCTTCCCGGCCAGGCAGCTGTCACACAGCTCACCTCCGTGTTTGATGTGGGGTAGCCCTCGGACCATCTTCCCCAGCCGACCAAGTGCGTCGAAGCTGAGATGTCCGAACCGGGCATGCCACATCCACGGTTCCTCGGAGTGCCTTGCCGCCAGGCAAATCGGCTGCTCTACCTTCAGGTCGAGCAGGTACAACCGGTTCAGGGACCTCTTTACCTTGGCGAGAAGTCGCTGCTCCCAGTCTCTGATCCTCAGAACGCCGTCCTTGATCAGAACCTCGCTACCGCACTCATCCAGCTGACCAATGCTGATGATGCTGGAACGCAACTGCGGGATGTAGTATACATCCGTTAGCACGCGGTGCTCCCCATTCTGGCATCTGAAGACGATGGTGCCGCGCCCTTGGATAGCCACCCTTGAGCCGTCACCAAACTTCACCGTACTGGTAACATCACCGTCGAGCTCGGAGAAGGAGTCCTTAGAGCCTGTCATGTGGTTACTGGCACCAGAGTCCAGATACCACCGCTGCTCCTGGTCGACGCCCACATGTCCAAGATGGACTTGGGCACGTGGTTCATCGAGGTTGACGGTCTTCAGGGCCTTGCTAGATCCTTCCACCGTCGTCGTCTCTTCCCTCGGCCCACGGGATCACCGACTGACGATAGTGAACTAGTCTCTAGACCACTAGTCTCAGGCCACTAGTCTCCCAGACCACTAGTCTCCCAGACCAGACCACTAGTCTCTAGACCACTAGTCTTCCAGACCACTATACCGGTTGTGTCCGTACCCACACACTACGGATCGAGCTAAAAGAAGAAGGGAGAATAGAGCAAGCACGCACAATACAAGACAACAACGTTGGCCGAAGCCCTGTCTGTGTGATGGTAAATCTGAGCTCTATTTATTGAGTTGCCTTGGTGCCCTATTTATACAACTCTATCTATCTAACTAAAGTACAGCGCACATGCTGTAACAGTAACTAGATAAGTATACAGGGCTGACTCTGCGCCGGCCACTGCATGTGCCTACAGTGCTGCAGGTGAGCCATGCGGCGCCTGCACCTGCAGCGGCTACTGTATTACAGCAGGGGGCAAAGTCGGTGCCTCCTTCCTCTGCTGTGTTTCACATAAGGTGGCAGTAGATTAGCTAACAGATAGGACTAGTCGGCCTCTAGATCGACGGCCGATAGGCCTACTGCTACAAATAGGCCTAGTCGGCAGGCTCCTGTCGGTCCTCCAGACTCCTGGCCACTGAAAATAGGCTATGGCTAGCATCTGTGAAAACAGAACACAAGGAACAATTAAATTGATGAACTGAACATGTCTTAGATAAGGCAGAACAAGGAATTAAGCAAAAGAAAAGAGGCTTTTCCTTCAGAACTGCACACGAAACCATTTTGTATATCCTTTGCATTACCTTGAACAACCTAATCAAAAGTGCTATTCTAGCAGCATCTGATGCAACTAAGAACCCAGCAGTCTACATGGCAATAATTTATTTTGAAATGTTACAGATCTAGAGTTGCTGGCGTGGTGGGTATCAAGCATCCAGCATGTCTCTGATGCTTTGCACTTGCTTGCCTAACACAGACCAGTACTAGTCGCATTGAGTGATGTCATTTACAAATTCAGGATAAGTCCATATGCTATTTCAAAATCTCCTTTGCTCTGAGGACAACCAAACACGTCTACAGGCTAAAAAAAACTAAATTTTCTAAAGTTTAGATGTTCAAATGCCTTATCTTTGGAAACTCACACCAAATTTCACAACGGAACTGCTGCTGGCCAGAGAAGAAGTGATCACCCCAATCTGTTTGTCTGAAGCAAAGGGGACGGTTCAGCTTTTTTTCTGAATGTTACTGCCTCACATGAGATTTAGGCGGGCTGGCATTTTTCATACGCATGGATCATTTTTCACATACTATTATTGCATACATACAATTTAAGTACATTTTTACGTAATTTTTTCCGTACGAGTACACACAGTTCAGCTTAGAATTTGTTCCAATTGACACAAAGAAATTCATTTAAACTACTTCCAAAATTATTAAAACCTCATATTTTTTAACTTTGGTAAATGTAAGGTTTTGTCTAAATTTGGGGTGCATATTAGTTCAAATTTTAAGTGACCATGGTTCAACCAACGTTCGATGCATATGATGTTAAACATTTAAACATGAGTCTATAGCTTAGTGGTAAGGCTTGCTTTGTTTTTATAGTTTAAATCCTCCTCTCTATAAATTTAGTATTTCTTTTCACATTTTTCATGCGACCTTATTGTGCATATATAAAAAAAAGGAACAATCGTCCTCTATTGCAGATTGGACTAGCGTGGAGCCAACACCGAGGTCCATTGGTTCCCTAAACAAGGGGGGAGTTTGCAACTTCACTTTTTTTAATCTCTACTTGTGTATTGATCATAAAATTAATACACAAGTAGAGATTAAAGTATTTGTGTATATAACATAGACAAGGATAGCTGGTAAAAATAATATAGTTATGAATAAATATTTAATTCGGAAGAGATCCGGCGCTGAGGGCCGAGGTGACCCAGCAGCAGGATGAGGTGCGCATAGCTCGAGGCGGGCGTGGGACGGTAAGTCTCTAGCTTCCTTGTTATTTTTCTTCCTGAAATCCGTGATAGGCCTTTTAACATGGTCGGTATGTCACTTGGGTAGGTCTTGATGACAAGCTCGGGATGGAGGTGGTGAGGAGCCGCTGTCTGGAGAAGGAGCTTGGCGAGACGAAGGACGTCCTCCAAAAGGAGAGTGACGAGCATGACAACCTCCGCGTCGCCGTCCTGCTGGTGTGCGACGAGCCGGAACTGGCCCCGGAGTAGGAGACAAGCTCTTTCGGGGTTCGCGCCACCCGGATTATGGACCGGGCGCGCGAGATGGCGAGAAACGCACTCCACCTCGGCGTTCATCGCTGGTTCGCGATCGCACGTTCTCACTATAAGAACATCGATCTGGCGACGATGAGCCAGGGCTTCGCACCCGGCTACTCTGAGGCCGAGATGGTCGAGATCGAGGAGACGAGGCACCCCTGGTCCCTCGTTGTGGAGAGAAAACTTTTAAGTATGTTTATGATACCTTGTTTTCTTTGGGGATACGGATATCGTCAGATATTGTCGAATACGGATCAGGAATCGGATAGAGAAAAACACTAAAAAACTAATTCAGATATATCCATTTAGTATCCATATTAAAAACGGATACAGATATCCATATTACAAGTTATAGCAAATACGAATATCCGATAATTCGGATATCTATTTCTATTTTCCATCACTAATAACAGAGCTAGCGGCTCCCAACTGATGCAGTGCACAGACTACTCGTACCTAGCTAGGGTAGGCACCGCTGCAAGGGCTAGCAAGCTAATAGGCCTGTGTTAATTATGATCCATCTTCACGGCTGGAGAGAGACCAGTACACGCACCAGTGAATAGCTTGAAGGCTGTCGGCAAGCTCCGCCACTCCGGCACCGAGAACAGATCTGCTGGTCGATAGGACTAGTCGTCTCTAGAAGGCCGATAGGCCTACTGCTACAAATAGGCTTAGTCGGCAGGCTCCTGTCGGTCCTCCAGACTCCTGGCCACTGAAAATAGGCTATGGCTAGCATCTGTGAAAACAGAACACAACGAACAATTAAATTGATAAACCGAACATATCTTAGATAAGGCAGAACAAGGAATTAAGCAAAAGAAAAGAGGCTTTTCCTTGAGAACTGCACACGAAACCATTTTGTATATCCTTTGCATTACCTTGAACAACCTAATCAAAAGTGCTATTCTAGCAGCATCTGATGCAACTAAGAATCCAGCAGTCTACATGGCAATAATTTATTTTGAAATGTTACAGATCTAGAGTTGCTGGCGTGGTGGGTATCAAGCAGCCAGCATCTCTCTGATCCTTTGCACTTGCTTGCCCAACACAGACCAGTACTAGTCGCATTGAGTGATGTCATTTACAAAGTCAGGATAAGTCCATATGCTATTTCAAAACCTCCTTTGCTCTGAGGACAACCAAACACCTCTACAGGCTAAAAAAACCTAAATTTTCTAAAGTTTAGATGTTCATATGCCTTATCTTCGGAAACTCAGACCAAATTTCACAACGGAACTGCTGCTGGCCAGAGAAGAAGTGATCACCCCAATCTGTTTGTCTGAAGCAAAGGGGACGGAGCAGGGTCTGAGCGTTGGAATCACTGGAAAGGGAAGCTTTCCCATGGGGACTCGTCTACAACAGCATGAATGGAACGGGAACCGTGGCGGACATAATCGCACCTTGGGGTCATAGGCGAGGATGGTGCGGGGCCGGCTATCACTGCACCTTGGTTCTTGGGGTCGCAACCAAGGATGCTGCAGAGGCAGTCGAGGTGCTCGCTCTAGTCCTCGGCTCCTCGCCTCGCAGTGGCTGCGCGACGCAGCGAGTGCACAGTCATTGTCGGCGGCCGCCGTTGCGGCCTCGTCCTCCTCGGAGCAGGCAGCACGTGCGGCCTCCCGAGCCCACAACGCTGAGCGCAGGGTCGTGGATGACGGCCGCCGCGGCGGCCTTGTCCTCCTGGAGCTGGCGCCCAAAAGCCCTTCCGGGCCCGCACCGTCGACGCTGCCACCTGGGCCAGCACCGTCGCCGCTGCCTCCCAGGCCTGTCTCGCCGCCGCCGTCGCCTCGACTCATACCTTCCTCACCGGATATGCGTTGATGGGCGCGCAGTGTGCGATTGGTGGCGGCCTAGCGGGGAACGACGGTAGCACTGTGCGAGATCCGGAAGGATGTTGGGCGCGGGGCGCTAGGGTTAGGGGAGGGGTGGGTCTTTTTGTTTGGGGCCATTTTTGGCGCTTGACACCCGCTTGTTGTGATTTTGACCCATTGTTTTGGCGACCGCGTATTTCAGTCATTGCCTTTTTTCTGAATGTTACTGCCTCACATGAGATTTAGGCGGGCTGGCATTTTTCATACGCATGGATCATTTTTCACATACTATTATTGCATACATACAATTTAAGTACATTTTTACGTAATTTTTTCCGTACGAGTACACACAGTTCAGCTTAGAATTTGTTCCAATTGACACAAAGAAATTCATTTAAACTACTTCCAAAATTATTAAAACCTCATATTTTTTAACTTTGGTAAATGTAAGGTTTTGTCTAAATTTGAGGTGCATATTAGTTCAAATTTTAAGTGACCATGGTTCAACCAACGTTCGATGCATATGATGTTAAACATTTAAACATGAGTCTATAGCTTAGTGGTAAGGCTTGCTTTGTTTTTATAGTTTAAATCCTCCCCTCTATAAATTTAGTATTTCTTTTCACATTTTTCATGTGACCTTATTGTGCATATATAAAAAAAGGAACAATCGTCCTCTATTGCAAATTGGACTAGCGTGGAGCCAACACCGAGGTCCATTGGTTCCCTAAACAAAGGGGGAGTTTGCAACTTCACTTTTTTTAAAGTATTTGTGTATATGCCATAGACAAGGATAGCTGGTAAAAATAATATAGTTATGAATAAATATTTAATTCGGAAGAGATCCGGCGCCTGAGGGCCGAGGTGACCCGGCAGCAGGATGAGGTGCGCAAGCTCCGGGCGGACGTGGACGGTAAGTCTCTAGCTTCCCTTGTTATTTTTCTTCCTGAAATCCGTGATAGGCCTTTTAACATGGTCGGTATGTCACTTGGGTAGGTCTTGATGACAAGCTCGGGATGGAGGTGGTGAGGAGCAGCTGTCTGGAGAAGGAGCTTGGCGAGACGAAGGACGTCCTCCAAAAGGAGAGCGACGAGCATGACAACCTCCGCGTCGCCGTCCTGCTGGTGCGCGACGAGCCGGAACTGGCCCCGGAGTAGGAGACAAGCTCTTTCGGGGTTCGCGACACCCGGATTATGGACCGCGTGCGCGAGATGGCGAGAAACGCACTCCACCTCGGCGTTCATCGCTGGTTCGCGATCGCACTTTCTCACTATGAGAACATCGATCTGGCGACGATGAGCCAGGGCTTCGCACCCGGCTACTCTGAGGCCGAGATGGTCGAGATCGAGGAGACGAGGCACCCCTGGTCCCTCGTTGTGGAGAGAAAACTTTTAAGTATGTTTATGATACCTTGTTTTCTTTGGGGATACGGATATCGTCAGATATTGTCGAATACGGATCAGGAATCGGATAGAGAAAACACTAAAAACTAATTCAGATATATCCATTTAGTATCCATATTAAAACCGATACAGATATCCATATTACAAGTTATAGCAAATACGAATATCCGATAATTCGGATATCTATTTCTATTTTCCATCACTAATAACAGAGCTAGCGGCTCCCAACTGATGCAGTGCACAGACTACTCGTACCTAGCTAGGGTAGGCACCGCTGCAAGGGCTAGCAAGCTAATAGGCCTGTGTTAATTATGATCCATCTTCACGGCTGGAGAGAGACCAGTACACGCACCAGTGAATAGCTTGAAGGCTGTCGGCAAGCTCCGCCACTCCGGCACCGAGAACAGATCTGCTGGTCGATAGGACTAGTCATCTCTAGAAGGCCGATAGGCCTACTGCTACAAATAGGCTTAGTCGGCAGGCTCCTGTCGGTCCTCCAGACTCCTGGCCACTGAAAATAGGCTATGGCTAGCATCTGTGAAAACAGAACACAACGAACAATTAAATTGATAAACCGAACATATCTTAGATAAGGCAGAACAAGGAATTAAGCAAAAGAAAAGAGGCTTTTCCTTGAGAACTGCACACGAAACCATTTTGTATATCCTTTGCATTACCTTGAACAACCTAATCAAAAGTGCTATTCTAGCAGCATCTGATGCAACTAAGAATCCAGCAGTCTACATGGCAATAATTTATTTTGAAATGTTACAGATCTAGAGTTGCTGGCGTGGTGGGTATCAAGCAGCCAGCATCTCTCTGATCCTTTGCACTTGCTTGCCCAACACAGACCAGTACTAGTCGCATTGAGTGATGTCATTTACAAAGTCAGGATAAGTCCATATGCTATTTCAAAACCTCCTTTGCTCTGAGGACAACCAAACACCTCTACAGGCTAAAAAAACCTAAATTTTCTAAAGTTTAGATGTTCATATGCCTTATCTTCGGAAACTCAGACCAAATTTCACAACGGAACTGCTGCTGGCCAGAGAAGAAGTGATCACCCCAATCTGTTTGTCTGAAGCAAAGGGGACGGAGCAGGGTCTGAGCGTTGGAATCACTGGAAAGGGAAGCTTTCCCATGGGGACTCGTCTACAACAGCATGAATGGAACGGGAACCGTGGCGGACATAATCGCACCTTGGGGTCATAGGCGAGGATGGTGCGGGGCCGGCTATCACTGCACCTTGGTTCTTGGGGTCGCAACCAAGGATGCTGCAGAGGCAGTCGAGGTGCTCGCTCTAGTCCTCGGCTCCTCGCCTCGCAGTGGCTGCGCGACGCAGCGAGTGCACAGTCATTGTCGGCGGCCGCCGTTGCGGCCTCGTCCTCCTCGGAGCAGGCAGCACGTGCGGCCTCCCGAGCCCACAACGCTGAGCGCAGGGTCGTGGATGACGGCCGCCGCGGCGGCCTTGTCCTCCCTGGAGCTGGCGCCCAAAAGCCCTTCCGGGCCCGCACCGTCGACGCTGCCACCTGGGCCAGCACCGTCGCCGCTGCCTCCCAGGCCTGTCTCGCCGCCGCCGTCGCCTCGACTCATACCTTCCTCACCGGATATGCGTTGATGGGCGCGCAGTGTGCGATTGGTGGCGGCCTAGCGGGGAACGACGGTAGCACTGTGCGAGATCCGGAAGGATGTTGGGCGCGGGGCGCTAGGGTTAGGGGAGGGGTGGGTCTTTTTGTTTGGGGCCATTTTTGGCGCTTGACACCCGCTTGTTGTGATTTTGACCCATTGTTTTGGCGACCGCGTATTTCAGTCATTGCCTTTTTTCTGAATGTTACTGCCTCACATGAGATTTAGGCGGGCTGGCATTTTTCATACGCATGGATCATTTTTCACATACTATTATTGCATACATACAATTTAAGTACATTTTTACGTAATTTTTTCCGTACGAGTACACACAGTTCAGCTTAGAATTTGTTCCAATTGACACAAAGAAATTCATTTAAACTACTTCCAAAATTATTAAAACCTCATATTTTTTAACTTTGGTAAATGTAAGGTTTTGTCTAAATTTGAGGTGCATATTAGTTCAAATTTTAAGTGACCATGGTTCAACCAACGTTCGATGCATATGATGTTAAACATTTAAACATGAGTCTATAGCTTAGTGGTAAGGCTTGCTTTGTTTTTATAGTTTAAATCCTCCCCTCTATAAATTTAGTATTTCTTTTCACATTTTCATGTGACCTTATTGTGCATATATAAAAAAGGAACAATCGTCCTCTATTGCAAATTGGACTAGCGTGGAGCCAACACCGAGGTCCATTGGTTCCCTAAACAAAGGGGAGTTTGCAACTTCACTTTTTTAAAGTATTTGTGTATATGCCATAGACAAGGATAGCTGGTAAAAATAATATAGTTATGAATAAATATTTAATTCGGAAGAGATCCGCGCTGAGGGCCGAGGTGACCGGCAGCAGGATGAGGTGCGCAAGCTCCGGGCGGACGTGGACGGTAAGTCTCTAGCTTCCCTTGTTATTTTTCTTCCTGAAATCCGTGATAGGCCTTTTAACATGGTCGGTATGTCACTTGGGTAGGTCTTGATGACAAGCTCGGGATGGAGGTGGTGAGGAGCAGCTGTCTGGAGAAGGAGCTTGGCGAGACGAAGGACGTCCTCCAAAAGGAGAGCGACGAGCATGACAACCTCCGCGTCGCCGTCCTGCTGGTGCGCGACGAGCCGGAACTGGCCCCGGAGTAGGAGACAAGCTCTTTCGGGGTTCGCGACACCCGGATTATGGACCGGTGCGCGAGATGGCGAGAAACGCACTCCACCTCGGCGTTCATCGCTGGTTCGCGATCGCACTTTCTCACTATGAGAACATCGATCTGGCGACGATGAGCCAGGGCTTCGCACCCGGCTACTCTGAGGCCGAGATGGTCGAGATCGAGGAGACGAGGCACCCCTGGTCCCTCGTTGTGGAGAGAAAACTTTTAAGTATGTTTATGATACCTTGTTTTCTTTGGGGATACGGATATCGTCAGATATTGTCGAATACGGATCAGGAATCGGATAGAGAAAAACACTAAAAAACTAATTCAGATATATCCATTTAGTATCCATATTAAAAACCGATACAGATATCCATATTACAAGTTATAGCAAATACGAATATCCGATAATTCGGATATCTATTTCTATTTTCCATCACTAATAACAGAGCTAGCGGCTCCCAACTGATGCAGTGCACAGACTACTCGTACCTAGCTAGGGTAGGCACCGCTGCAAGGGCTAGCAAGCTAATAGGCCTGTGTTAATTATGATCCATCTTCACGGCTGGAGAGAGACCAGTACACGCACCAGTGAATAGCTTGAAGGCTGTCGGCAAGCTCCGCCACTCCGGCACCGAGAACAGATCTGCTGGTCGATAGGACTAGTCATCTCTAGAAGGCCGATAGGCCTACTGCTACAAATAGGCTTAGTCGGCAGGCTCCTGTCGGTCCTCCAGACTCCTGGCCACTGAAAATAGGCTATGGCTAGCATCTGTGAAAACAGAACACAACGAACAATTAAATTGATAAACCGAACATATCTTAGATAAGGCAGAACAAGGAATTAAGCAAAAGAAAAGAGGCTTTTCCTTGAGAACTGCACACGAAACCATTTTGTATATCCTTTGCATTACCTTGAACAACCTAATCAAAAGTGCTATTCTAGCAGCATCTGATGCAACTAAGAATCCAGCAGTCTACATGGCAATAATTTATTTTGAAATGTTACAGATCTAGAGTTGCTGGCGTGGTGGGTATCAAGCAGCCAGCATCTCTCTGATCCTTTGCACTTGCTTGCCCAACACAGACCAGTACTAGTCGCATTGAGTGATGTCATTTACAAAGTCAGGATAAGTCCATATGCTATTTCAAAACCTCCTTTGCTCTGAGGACAACCAAACACCTCTACAGGCTAAAAAAACCTAAATTTTCTAAAGTTTAGATGTTCATATGCCTTATCTTCGGAAACTCAGACCAAATTTCACAACGGAACTGCTGCTGGCCAGAGAAGAAGTGATCACCCCAATCTGTTTGTCTGAAGCAAAGGGGACGGAGCAGGGTCTGAGCGTTGGAATCACTGGAAAGGGAAGCTTTCCCATGGGGACTCGTCTACAATAGCATGAATGGAACGGGAACCGTGGCGGACATAATCGCACCTTGGGGTCATAGGCGAGGATGGTGCGGGGCCGGCTATCACTGCACCTTGGTTCTTGGGGTCGCAACCAAGGATGCTGCAGAGGCAGTCGAGGTGCTCGCTCTAGTCCTCGGCTCCTCGCCTCGCAGTGGCTGCGCGACGCAGCGAGTGCACAGTCATTGTCGGCGGCCGCCGTTGCGGCCTCGTCCTCCTCGGAGCAGGCAGCACGTGCGGCCTCCCGAGCCCACAACGCTGAGCGCAGGGTCGTGGATGACGGCCGCCGCGGCGGCCTTGTCCTCCCTGGAGCTGGCGCCCAAAAGCCCTTCCGGGCCCGCACCGTCGACGCTGCCACCTGGGCCAGCACCGTCGCCGCTGCCTCCCAGGCCTGTCTCGCCGCCGCCGTCGCCTCGACTCATACCTTCCTCACCGGATATGCGTTGATGGGCGCGCAGTGTGCGATTGGTGGCGGCCTAGCGGGGAACGACGGTAGCACTGTGCGAGATCCGGAAGGATGTTGGGCGCGGGGCGCTAGGGTTAGGGGAGGGGTGGGTCTTTTTGTTTGGGGCCATTTTTGGCGCACCCGCTTGTTGTGATTTTGACCCATTGTTTTGGCGACCGCGTATTTCAGTCATTGCCTTTTTTCTGAATGTTACTGCCTCACATGAGATTTAGGCGGGCTGGCATTTTTCATACGCATGGATCATTTTTCACATACTATTATTGCATACATACAATTTAAGTACATTTTTACGTAATTTTTTCCGTACGAGTACACACAGTTCAGCTTAGAATTTGTTCCAATTGACACAAAGAAATTCATTTAAACTACTTCCAAAATTATTAAAACCTCATATTTTTTAACTTTGGTAAATGTAAGGTTTTGTCTAAATTTGAGGTGCATATTAGTTCAAATTTTAAGTGACCATGGTTCAACCAACGTTCGATGCATATGATGTTAAACATTTAAACATGAGTCTATAGCTTAGTGGTAAGGCTTGCTTTGTTTTTATAGTTTAAATCCTCCCCTCTATAAATTTAGTATTTCTTTTCACATTTTTCATGTGACCTTATTGTGCATATATAAAAAAAGGAACAATCGTCCTCTATTGCAAATTGGACTAGCGTGGAGCCAACACCGAGGTCCATTGGTTCCCTAAACAAAGGGGGAGTTTGCAACTTCACTTTTTTTAAAGTATTTGTGTATATGCCATAGACAAGGATAGCTGGTAAAAATAATATAGTTATGAATAAATATTTAATTCGGAAGAGATCCGGCGCCTGAGGGCCGAGGTGACCCGGCAGCAGGATGAGGTGCGCAAGCTCCGGGCGGACGTGGACGGTAAGTCTCTAGCTTCCCTTGTTATTTTTCTTCCTGAAATCCGTGATAGGCCTTTTAACATGGTCGGTATGTCACTTGGGTAGGTCTTGATGACAAGCTCGGGATGGAGGTGGTGAGGAGCCGCTGTCTGGAGAAGGAGCTTGGCGAGACGAAGGACGTCCTCCAAAAGGAGAGCGACGAGCATGACAACCTCCGCGTCGCCGTCCTACTGGTGTGCGACGAGCCGGAACTGGCCCCGGAGTAGGAGACAAGCTCTTTCGGGGTTCGCGACACCCGGATTATGGACCGGGTGCGCGAGATGGCGAGAAACGCACTCCACCTCGGCGTTCATCGCTGGTTCGCGATCGCACTTTCTCACTATGAGAACATCGATCTGGCGACGATGAGCCAGGGCTTCGCACCCGGCTACTCTGAGGCCGAGATGGTCGAGATCGAGGAGACGAGGCACCCCTGGTCCCTCGTTGTGGAGAGAAAACTTTTAAGTATGTTTATGATACCTTGTTTTCTTTGGGGATACGGATATCGTCAGATATTGTCGAATACGGATCAGGAATCGGATAGAGAAAAACACTAAAAAACTAATTCAGATATATCCATTTAGTATCCATATTAAAAACGGATACAGATATCCATATTACAAGTTATAGCAAATACGAATATCCGATAATTCGGATATCTATTTCTATTTTCCATCACTAATAACAGAGCTAGCGGCTCCCAACTGATGCAGTGCACAGACTACTCGTACCTAGCTAGGGTAGGCACCGCTGCAAGGGCTAGCAAGCTAATAGGCCTGTGTTAATTATGATCCATCTTCACGGCTGGAGAGAGACCAGTACACGCACCAGTGAATAGCTTGACGGCTGTCGGCAAGCTCCGCCACTCCGGCACCGAGAACAGATCTGCTGGTCGATAGGACTAGTCATCTCTAGAAGGCCGATAGGCCTACTGCTACAAATAGGCTTAGTCGGCAGGCTCCTGTCGGTCCTCCAGACTCCTGGCCACTGAAAATAGGCTATGGCTAGCATCTGTGAAAACAGAACACAACGAACAATTAAATTGATAAACCGAACATATCTTAGATAAGGCAGAACAAGGAATTAAGCAAAAGAAAAGAGGCTTTTCCTTGAGAACTGCACACGAAACCATTTTGTATATCCTTTGCATTACCTTGAACAACCTAATCAAAAGTGCTATTCTAGCAGCATCTGATGCAACTAAGAATCCAGCAGTCTACATGGCAATAATTTATTTTGAAATGTTACAGATCTAGAGTTGCTGGCGTGGTGGGTATCAAGCAGCCAGCATCTCTCTGATCCTTTGCACTTGCTTGCCCAACACAGACCAGTACTAGTCGCATTGAGTGATGTCATTTACAAAGTCAGGATAAGTCCATATGCTATTTCAAAACCTCCTTTGCTCTGAGGACAACCAAACACCTCTACAGGCTAAAAAAACCTAAATTTTCTAAAGTTTAGATGTTCATATGCCTTATCTTCGGAAACTCAGACCAAATTTCACAACGGAACTGCTGCTGGCGAGAGAAGAAGTGATCACCCCAATCTATTTGTCTGAAGCAAAGGGGACGGAGCAGGGTCTGAGCGTTGGAATCACTGGAAAGGGAAGCTTTCCCATGGGGACTCGTCTACAACAGCATGAATGGAACGGGAACCGTGGCGGACATAATCGCACCTTGGGGTCATAGGCGAGGATGGTGCGGGGCCGGCTATCACTGCACCTTGGTTCTTGGGGTCGCAACCAAGGATGCTGCAGAGGCAGTCGAGGTGCTCGCTCTAGTCCTCGGCTCCTCGCCTCGCAGTGGCTGCGTGACGCAGCGAGTGCACAGTCATTGTCGGCGGCCGCCGTTGCGGCCTCGTCCTCCTCGGAGCAGGCAGCACGTGCGGCCTCCCGAGCCCGCAACGCTGAGCGCAGGGTCGTGGATGACGGTCGCCGCGGCGGCCTTGTCCTCCCTGGAGCTGGCGCCCAAAAGCCCTTCCGGGCCCGCACCGTCGACGCTGCCACCTGGGCCAGCACCGTCGCCGCTGCCTCCCAGGCCCGTCTCGCCGCCGCCGTCGCCTCGACTCATACCTTCCTAAACGGATCTGCGTTGATGGGCGCGCAGTGTGCGATTGGTGGCGGCCTAGCGGGGAACGACGGTAGCACTGTGCGAGATCCGGAAGGATGTTGGGCGCGGGGCGCTAGGGTTAGGGTAGGGGTGGGTCTTTTTGTTTGGGGCCATTTTTGGCGCTTGACACCCGCTTGTTGTGATTTTGACCCATTGTTTTGGCGCCCGCGTATTTCAGTCATTGCCTTTTTTCTGAATGTTACTGCCTCACTTGAGATTTAGGCGGGCTGGCATTTTTCATACGCATGGATCATTTTTCACATACTATTATTGCATACATACAATTTAAGTACATTTTTACGTAATTTTTTTCGTACGAGTACACACAGTTCAGCTTAGAATTTGTTCCAATTGACACAAAGAAATTCATTTAAACTACTTCCAAAATTATTAAAACCTCATATTTTTTAACTTTGGTAAATGTAAGGTTTTGTCTAAATTTGAGGAGCATATTAGTTCAAATTTTAAGTGACCATGGTTCAACCAGCGTTCGATGCATATGATGTTAAACATTTAAACATGAGTCTATAGCTTAGTGGTAGGGCTTGCTTTGTTTTTATAGTTTAAATCCTCCCCTCTATAAATTTAGTATTTCTTTTCACATTTTTCATGTGACCTTATTGTGCATATATAAAAAAAGGAACAATCGTCCTCTATTGCAAATTGGACTAGCGTGGAGCCAACACCGAGGTCCATTGGTTCCCTAAACAAGGGGGGAGTTTGCAACTTCACTTTTTTTAATCTATTTGTGTATATAACATAGACAAGGATAGCTGGTAAAAATAATATAGTTATGAATAAATATTTAATTCGGAAGAGATCCGGCGCCTGAGGGCCGAGGTGACCCGGCAGCAGGATGAGGTGCGCAAGCTCCGGGCGGACGTGGACGGTAATAAGTCTCTAGCTTCCCTTGTTATTTTTCTTCCTGAAATCCGTGATAGGCCTTTTAACATGGTCGGTATGTCACTTGGGTAGGTCTTGATGACAAGCTCGGGATGGAGGTGGTGAGGAGCCGCTGTCTGGAGAAGGAGCTTGGCGAGACGAAGGACGTCCTCCAAAAGGAGAGCGACGAGCATGACAACCTCCGCGTCGCCGTCCTACTGGTGTGCGACGAGCCGGAACTGGCCCCGGAGTAGGAGACAAGCTCTTTCGGGGTTCGCGCCACCCGGATTATGGACCGGGCGCGCGAGATGGCGAGAAACGCACTCCACCTCGGCGTTCATCGCTGGTTCGCGATCGCACGTTCTCACTATGAGAACATCGATCTGGCGACGATGAGCCAGGGCTTCGCACCCGGCTACTCTGAGGCCGACCTGGTCGAGATCGAGGAGACGAGGCACCCCTGGTCCCTCGTTGTGGAGAGAAAACTTTTAAGTATGTTTATGATACCTTGTTTTCTTTGGGGATACGGATATCGTCAGATATTGTCGAATACGGATCAGGAATCGGATAGAGAAAAACACTAAAAAACTAATTCAGATATATCCATTTAGTATCCATATTAAAAACGGATACAGATATCCAAATTACAAGTTATAGCGGATACGAATATCCGATAATTCGGATATCTATTTCTATTTTCCATCACTAATAACAGAGCTAGCGGCTCCCAACTGATGCAGTGCACAGACTACTCGTACCTAGCTAGGGTAGGCACCGCTGCAAGGGCTAGCAAGCTAATAGGCCTGTGTTAATTATGATCCATCTTCACGGCTGGAGAGAGACCAGTACACGCACCAGTGAATAGCTTGAAGGCTGTCGGCAAGCTCCGCCACTCCGGCACCGAGAACAGATCTGCTGGTCGATAGGACTAGTCATCTCTAGAAGGCCGATAGGCCTACTGCTACAAATAGGCTTAGTCGGCAGGCTCCTGTCGGTCCTCCAGACTCCTGGCCACTGAAAATAGGCTATGTCTAGCATCTGTGAAAACAGAACACAACGAACAATTAAATTGATAAACTGAACATATCTTAGATAAGGCAGAACAAGGAATTAAGCAAAAGAAAAGAGGCTTTTCCTTGAGAACTGCACACGAAACCATTTTGTATATCCTTTGCATTACCTTGAACAACCTAATCAAAAGTGCTATACTAGCAGCATCTGATGCAACTAAGAATCCAGCAGTCTACATGAAAATAATTTATTTTGAAATGTTACAGATCTAGAGTTGCTGGCGTGGTGGGTATCAAGCAGCCAGCATCTCTCTGATCCATTGCACTTGCTTGCCCAACACAGACCAGTACTAGTCGCATTGAGTGATATCATTTACAAAGTCAGGATAAGTCCATATGCTATTTCAAAACCTCCTTTGCTCTGAGGACAACCAAACACCTCTACAGGCTAAAAAAACCTAAATTTTCTAAAGTTTAGATGTTCATATGCCTTATCTTCGGAAACTCAGACCAAATTTCACAACGGAACTGCTGCTAGCCGGAGAAGAAGTGATCACCCCAATCTATTTGTCTGAAGCAAAGGGGACGGAGCAGGGTCTGAGCGTTGGAATCACTGGAAAGGGAAGCTTTCCCATGGGGACTCGCCTACAACAGCATGAACGGAACGGGAACCGTGGCGGAAATAATCGCACCTTGGGGTCGTAGGAGAGGATGGTGCGGGGCCGGCCATCACCGCACCTTGGTCCTTGGGGTCGCAGCCAAGGATGTGGCAGAGACAGTCGAGGTGCTCGCTCTGGTCCTCGGCTCCTCGCCTCGCAGTGGCTGCGCGACGCAGCGAGTGCACAGTCGTTGTCGGCGGCCGCCGTTGCGGCCTCGTCCTCCTCGGAGATGGCAGCACGTGCGGCCTCCCGAGCCCGAAACGCTGAGCGCAGGGTCGTGGATGACGGCCGCCGCCGCGGCCTCGTCCTCCATGGCGCTGGCGACCAAAAGCCCTTCCGGGCCCGCACCGTCGACGCTGCCACCTGGGCCAGCACCGTCGCCACTGCCTCCCAGGCCAGTCTCGCCGCCGCCGTCGCCTCGACTCATACCTTCCTCACCAGATCTGCGTTGATGGGCGCGCAGCGTGCGATGGGTGGCGGCCTAGCAGGGAACGACGGTAGCACTGTGCGAGATCCGGAAGGATGTCAGGCGGGGGGCGCTAGGGTTAAGGGAGGGGTCGGTGTTTTTGTTTGGGGCCATTTTTGGCGCTTGACACCCGCTTGTGATTTTGACCCATTGTTTTGGTGCCTGCATATTTCAGTCATTGCCTTTTTTATGAATGTTACTGCCTCACATGAGTTTTAGGCGGGCTGGCATTTTTCATACGCATGGATCATTTTTCACATATAATTATTGCATACATACAATTTAAATACATTTTTAAGTAATTTTTTCAGTAGGAGTACACACAATTCCGCTTAGAATTTGTTCCAATTGACACAAAGAAATTCATTTAAACTACTTTCAAAATTATTGAAACCTCATATTTTTTAACTTTGGTAAATGTAAGGTTTTGTCTAAATTTGAGATGCATATTACTTCAAATTTTAAGTGACCATGGTTCAGCCAACGTTCAATGCATATGATGTTAAACATTTAACCATGAGTCTATAGCTTAGTGGTAAGGCTTGCTTTGTTTTTATAGTTTAAATCCACCTCCCTATAAATTTAGTATTTCTTTTCACATTTTTCATGCGACCTTATTGTGCTAGTATAAAAAAACAACAATCGTGCTCTATTGCAAATTGGACTAGCGTGGAGCCAACACCGAAGTCCATTGGTTCCCTAAACAAGGGGGGAGTTTGCAACTTAACTTTTTTTAATCTCTACTTGTGTATTAATTATAAAATTAATTATAAAATTAATACACAAGTAGAGATTAAAGTATTTGTGTCTATAACAAAGACAGGGATAGCTCGCAAAAATAATATAGTTATCAATAAATATTTAATTCGGAAGAGATCCGGCGTCAGAGGGCCGAGGTGACCCGGCAGCAGGATGAGGTGCGCAAGCTCCGGGCGGACGTGGATGGTAAGTCTCTAGCGTCCCTTGTTATTTTTCTTCCTGAAATCCATGATAGGCCTTTTAACATGGTCGGTATGTCACTTGGGTAGGTCTTGATGACGAGCTCGGGATGGAGGTGGTGAGGAGCCGTGGCCTGGAGAAGGAGCTTGGCGAGACGAAGGACGTCCTCCAAAAGGAGAGCGACGAGCATGACAACCTCCGCGTCGCCGTCTAGCTGGTGTGCGCTGGAACTGCCCGGAGTAGGAGACAAGCTCCTTCGCGGTTCGCGCCACCCGGATTACGGACCAGGCGCGCGGGATGGCGAGAAACGCACTCCACCTCGGAGTTCATCGCTTGTTCGCGATCGCACGATCTCACTATGAGAACATCGATCTGGCGACGATGAGAGCCAGGGCTTCGCACCCGGCTACTCTGAGGCCGAGCTGGACGATATCGAGGAGACGAGGCACCCCTGGTCCCTCGTTGTGGAGAGAAAACTTTTAAGTATGTTTATGATACTGTTGATGCAAAAGTGGATCTGCAAACACAAAGGGCTAATATCCGAATCGATATCCAAAGCGTGCCAGTCGATTTGACCTGTTAATCGACAAGGATGAAGATACGAGCACTTTGGTCCTGACAACAGCGATACGCCCGGAAGTCACGGCCAAGAGGTACTCACGCGGAACTCGAGAATCGCCGAAGGTTACACTGAAACGATGCAACTCGCCGAATCAATGAGAACTCGTAAAAGGAAAAAATATGCAAATTGACGAAGTTTAGAAAAGTAAGTAGATGCAAATAGGAGTAAAATTGGTTTTGATATTGATTGATATATATTACATTGCCCTCAATCTATATTTATACCACGATCTAAAGAGACATAACCAAATACGACTAGGACACCAAGTCCATATCTAAGGAAACACGTGACTCTTACATGAATCATACTCTAACAAAGGAAATCAACTCCTATCTATTTCCCCCGTCCGCCTCAATTACGATGGAATTCTTACCGACCTCCTTTCCATCAAGATACTTCCTGTTTCATCGGCAGTAGTTTTCAAGCCTTCCTTCATCGGCATTGACACTAACATCTCCAACCTTATCGGCAACGCCCGAGTCTAAATCAACCTTTCCATCGATCACCACCATTCATCGGCAACCATCTTTACAAGCTGATTTTCGGCCGGTCATCGGCAGATATCTGATAACTTTCCTCCCGCCGATTAGCCCACTCGATCATTTTGACACATGCAAAAAACGGTGTCAACACATGCCCCCAATTTCGAGTATAAAACCATTAATGCTCGAAATTTACTCCAGATAACGTTTGCCTTCGCAATTAATTGTGTAACTCATCCTCCAAGCCAAAACTTGATTTGTTATCAAATCTAATCAAATCTAGTCCTGATTCACGGACCTCAGTAAATATCGCACAATTTCCAACCACTCTTGTCCTGATTATGGTTAAGATACCGAAACAATAATCCATCGGCAAGATCCTAACATAATAATGCCGCCATTTTCAGAATTAAAATATCCTGTACCGAGATCTCTTCCAAGTCATGATTACTTGCCATCAAATCATCTGTACAATCCCTTGATTATCGTGCGAACAGTTACCATATCCATCTGAACCACCTCGACCCACATGCATGGCGGCATAGAGATAAGTCCGAATACCCCTACTCCAAGCGGCTTATAAATAGATTTCTCCTAACGCTCGTCTTCTACCCTCGACTCCAACCTTTGGCATTCTCTCTTTCCGCATGGCGACTCCGACGAACAAGCATGCGACCTCAACCAACAAGAACTTTTCTCCAGCGTCAACCTCGAGTCTCCGGCTCGTGCCCCCATCTACCTCAAGATAATGGCAATCAACTTCGACGTCCCTACGGTTCGTTCCACTTCCATTACTTTTTACCTCGATTCCTCTGGTCTTTGCGAGTTCATACAGTTGGTAATTTTTCTCTTTTTCTTTGTTCTTCGGATCCTCTAAACTTAGGAACTTCGCAACAAATTAGTTATTCCAACCGATCACCGCATTTCCAATGCCTAGGACCAATGGGCAACCTAGATCCAAGCGATCCGATTAATGCAAGAGGTTAATGAGAATCCCTTTTAGAGCCCAAAATTTCTCTCTGAATTTATGGAAAGATACATTCCGATCTTGGCCCAAAACCACCAAAGGGTTGAAAGATTGGTACTTGAGGGTCAACAGGTCGATGCAAGTACACTGGGCAAAACGGAAGCTAGACCAATGCATTAGGCTATCCATTGCCGATATGCAAAAGAACGAGTCAATGATGATTGCAGCTGCTTGCTTCTAGTCAGACACAACAAACACTTTTATGTTTGGACATGGCCCAGCTACTCCCACACTTGCCGATGTCTACATGCTCACTGGCTTGGACATTTCAATCTGTCGATGAAGGCTCCATCTATGGCGAAAATCTGAATATAGGGTGAATACCCGCAACATCGGCGATTGGACGGGATATATTCAAGAATGCCAGAGGACCGGGACAGTTAACCAGACGGAACATGCCACATTCTTGAATATGTGGTTAAAAAAATTTATCTTCTGTGGTCGATCAGTAGGACCAACCAACGCCTTCCTCCCCGCGGCTGAACTCTTGGCCAATGGTGCAAGGTTCCCTCTTGGCCGATACCTTCTGAGCTCCACTTATCATCTTCTTCATCAAGTGTCTCAGAAACTTTTGCTTGGCGAACCCATCGACAACTTAGGAGGCCCGTGGTGGTTTATCAACATGTGGTGAATGCCCATATGCACAAACGTCGCAATGGGACTTCTCTCGCCCAACAATTCCCACGAGAAATTCTTTGAAGACCACGTGCTTGGGGATGAGGAATCGGCAACACGCTCACCCCTCAATTTTGGTGAAGCCATAATTGTCCTCCCCGAACAGAGGCCAATGAAGACCGGATCGTGATTCTTCCAAAGCTTCTACAATGGTCTTTCTCGTGATCATAGGGCTGGGTACCTTATATTGACGAAGAAAACAGATTCCCCTTCTTTTCAACTTTGCCGATGACACTGGATCAAGATAATGAACTTATGATGTCCATCATTACTCCTGTGGCAATCCATAGAAACACATTCGGTAGAGGAAAAACACCAATATCACGTATGAATTTTACAATCCATCGGCAGTATCCCGTCAATTAGCTTTTGGGCAAGCGCCAATCAAACTTTGTTTTGCCGATGTGATCAAACCTGGAGAAACAATCACCTGCGGAACAGATTGGAGCAGGGTAGTGCGACTCTCCCCCGATGCCGATACTACAGATGTCGATATATCCATCTGGACGCCAACATCTTTCATCACCGAATCATATAAGCAATGGTGGCGAGAGTGGAGGAACAACGCGTTTGCAACATCTCGCTCACACATATCGACACATGATCGACCACGAATACGCCATTCCCGGCGACGTGATAAGTTTTTTTAACTCCCTTCTGCTTTTTCCTTTCATATATCGGTAACTAACTTTCTCGTGACAGGTTAACAACCCAGCACCATCTATGAGCAAAAGTGGGAAACCCTTCGATCTTCGGCCTGTTTCCCCGATATCACCGATCGGCTACAACGCCCCCACCTTAGCTGCTTTGACTCACCAGAAGACCCGTGCCAAGACCATCACTTCCAAGTCCAAATTGGCTCTGCTTAGGGCCACTCCATTGGTCTTTGCTACAACCCTGATCAAGGCATTCAAGGTAACAACCCTGTTTATTTCTACTCATGCCGATCACAAACTGTATTAACATTAATCATCAGGGTGTAAGAGCCGCTGCTGGATCGTCATCGGCAATTCCTCCGACATCAAGCACCACTACCTCTGACAAACCTTCAGAGGTATTCCTTTGATTTTACATTTTATCTGTTAAATATCATACCTTACACTTGTTTTGCAGCAACAAATGGGTACATCGGCAAGCGTACCAGATGTTCAAGCTCCACAACCAATAAGTGCCGATGCCCCCTAGACAACCGTTGCTGAGGCCCAAGCAAAGCGCAAAGCCTTAACAGATGCCAAGGCACAGCCAAAACGACAGAAGTCCATGCCGATCCCCACATCTACCCCAACGTCTGCAAGCCGGCCAGAATCAGTCGATGCAACTGAGCAAGCAGTTAATCCTCCTGTACAGGACATATCATCGGTCATCATACCCCAAGGGCCAACCACCGATGAGGCCACAAAGGATATCCCATCGGCAAGCTCAGCCGATCCTCCACACGGCGTACTCTAGGCTGCTTCCTCCAGCCAAGTACAGG